ATCAGTGGAAGATGGTCCAAGTCCTTGGGCCCATGCACCCGCGTGGGAGACCTGGAAGACCTCAACCAGAGAATGGATGACCTCTCTCTCTGCCTCTCTGTAACTCTGCCTTTCAAGTAAATAAATAATTTTTTTAAAGATTTATTTATTTATTTATTTATTTGAAAGTCAGAAATACATAGAGAGAAGGAAAGGCAGAGAGAGAAGTCTTCCATCGCTGGTTCACTTTCCAATTGGCCGCCAACGGCCAGAGCTGCGCCAATCCAAAGCCAGGCGCCAGGAGCTTCCTCTAGTCTCCCAGGTGGGTACAGGGCCCAAAGACTTGGACATCTTCTACTGTCTTCCCAGCCCATAGCAGAGAGCTGGATCAGAAGTACAGCAGCCAGGACTCGAACTGGCTCCCATATGGGATGCTGGCACTGCAGGCGCCAGCTTTACCCGCCATGCCACAGCACTGGCACCCAAATAAATAAATCTTAAAAAAAAAATTGATATATTTAAAGGGCAGAGTGACAGAGAGAGAGAGGTAGAGATGAGGAGACAGAGAGAGAAAGAGCTTTTTTTTTTTTTTTTTTAAGAGTACGGTATTAGCATAAGGAAAGACATATAGATCAACAGAACAGAAAGTCCAGAAATAAAAATATCTGAGGATAAATAACCTTGACAAGAAAATGAAGTTCATTCAATGCAGAAAAAAGAGTCTTTTATTCAACAAATGATGCCGGGACAGTTAGATGCAACATGAGAAAAAAAATGTTCGACTCCTACTGCATAGCAGATATAAATTTAACTCAGGTAAGTGAAAGACCGAAACAGAAGAGCTAAAACTATAAAACACTTTGAAGAAAACATAATAAAAACTCTCCACAATAACCCCAAAGAATGAGTAAAAAAATAGACAAATTAAGCTATATAGGAATTTGAAACTTTTATATATCAAAGGGCCTGATCAAGAAAGTGAAAAGAAAACCTACAGAATGGGAGAAAATATTTGCAAATTATATATACGATAAAGAAGATTACTAAGGATACACTGAAGAACTCTTACCACTCACTACTAAAAAGACAACCCAATTAAAAATGGGCAAAAGGCTTGAATAGACATTTCTCAAAGAAGATACACAAATGAGTATATATGCACATGAAAAGATGCTCTAAGTCACAATCCTTAGGGAAATGCAAACCAAAACCACAATTAGACACCACTTCACACTAACTAGGACAGCCAACATTTTAGAAAAAGAAATTAAGTGTGGGTGAGAATGTGGAGAAATTGGAGCCCTTACACATCACTGCTGGGAATGTAAAATGGTACACCCACTGCAGTAAATAATTTGGCAGTTCCTTAAATGATTTTTTTTAAGTTAAACATAGAATTACCACACTCCAGCGACTCAACACTTAAGTGTACACCCAAGAGAATTGAGAATGGTCCACAAATAAATACTTGTACACCAATGTCCATAGTAGCACTATTCATAACGAAAATGTCCTACAATGGATGAATGGGTCAACAAGATTTGGTCCATACAAACCCTGAAATGCTACTCAACCACAAGGACAAACAACAGGGCGGCATTGTGGTGTAGCTGGTTAAGGTACCATCTGAGACACCAGCATTCCATATGGGTGCTGGTTCGAGTCCCAGCTGTTCTGCTTCTGATCCTGGTCCCTGATAACACTCTTCTGAAGGCAATGAAAGATGGCCTGAGTGATTGGGCCCCTGACACCCACGTGGGAGACCAGGATGGAGTTTCAGGCTCCTGGAGTCAGCCTGGTACAGCCCTGGCCATTGTAGCTATCTGGGGAATGAACCAGCAGACAGGTCATCTCCCTGTCTCTGTCTCTGCCCTTTTTTCTCTGTAACTGTGCTTTTCACATAATTAAATCTGGCAAAAAAAAAAAGAAAAAAAAAAAAAAAAGAAAGAAAAGTGCTATACATGGATGAACCTCACAAACATTACTGTGTTAATTATAGGAAGCCAAACAAGGTCATACATCACACGCCTACATTTATACAAAATAAGAATACATAAATCCATAGAAACAGAAAGCAAATTGGGGGCCGGTGCTGTGGCACATTGGGTAAAGCTACCGCCTGCCTTGCCAACATCCCATATGGGCGCCGGTTCAACTCCCGGCTACTCCACTTCTGATCCAGCTCTCTGCTATGGTCTTGGAAAGCAGTAGAAGATGGCCCAAGTCCTTGAGCCCCTGCACCCATGTGGGAGACCCAGAGGAAGCTCCTGGCTCCTGGCTTCGGATCGGCTCAGCTCCAGCCATTTCGGTCAACTGGGGAGTGAACCAGCAGATGGAAGACTTTTCTCTCGTGCTGTCTCTCCTCTGTGTAACTCTTTCAAATAAATAAATCTTAAAAAAAAAAAAAAAAAAAAGAAGAAGAAGAAAAGAAAGCAAATTGGATGGGAGGGGAGCGGGGAGTGACTGCTTAATGTTTTCAGAAGACAAAAAGGATTGAGAACTTCATATTCGTAGTGATTGCACCAAACTGGGCATGTCAGTAGTAAAATAGTTAATTTGGGGGCGTAATGTAGCACAGTGGGTTAAGCTATTGCTTGCAACAGAGTGCCAATTTGAACTTCGGCTGCTCTACTTCCAATCCAGCTCCCTGCTGGTGCATCTGGGAAGGCAGCAGAAGATGGCTCAGGTGCTTGGACCCCTGCCACCCCTAGAGGAGTTCCTGGCTCCTGACTTCAGCCTGGACCAGTTCTGGCTGTTGAGGACATTTTGGGAGTGACCAGCAGATGGGAAATCTCTGTCTCTATCTGCCTGCTTCTCTTTCTCCACCCCCTTCTCCCTCTGACACTCTGCCTTTCAAATAAATAAATAAACGGTTAATTTGATGTTACATGACTTTTCCCTAATAAAAAAAATTCTTAAAAATTTTATGCATCAGGGCTGGCGCCGCGGCTCACTAGGCTAATCCTCCGCCTAGCGGCACCGGCACACCGGGTTCTAGTCCTGGTTGGGGCGCCGGATTCTGTCCCGGTTGCCCCTCTTCCAGCCCAGCTCTCTGCTGTGGCCAGGGAGTGCAGTGGAGGATGGCCCAAGTGCTTGGGCCCTGCACCCCATGGGAGACCAGGTAAAGCACCTGGCTCCTGCCATCGGATCAGCGCGGTGCGCCGGCCGCAGCGCGCCAGCCGCGGCGGCCATTGGAGGGTGAACCAACGGCAAAGGAAGACCTTTCTCTCTGTCTTTCTCTCTCACTGTCCACTCTGCCTGTCAAACAATCACTACACTCTATTTATGCATCGATTAGGAGGAGATGAAAGGAAAATACTGGCTGGGAAAATGAGAAAAATGAAATCAGTGGCTAGAACATGTGGAACAATGGAAAACATTTTGTTTACTTGTTTTTTGCATTTGCTTAAACACAGGTGATCCCCATGTCTATGCACCTACGGGAATAACCTGTTAGATAGGCAGACATTAATGGCACAGCAGAGAGAGAGAAATGTGCTCAAGAAGCAAGTCATTAAATCCAGAGCTTAGACAGACAGCAGTCTTGGACAGGAACCTGATGTGTGATTTTCTGAGACAGGAAAGATGATGAAAAGTATAGAACTGGGAAGACTATGAGAGAGTTCTATTCTGATGGCTTCAGATGACACTTGAGAAAAGGGATAGGGAGAAAAACGATATGAAACAGTCATGCTGGACAGTGAGAAAGGGAATGGCTGAGACTGGTCAGCAGCTCTGAGCGCACACCTGAGCCTGCGGTCATGAACCTGTGAACAAACAGGAGGCAGCAGGCCTGGGGAGGGCAGACAGCAGGCTTCACTCGGGCTGGAGCTTTAGCCACTAGGATTAGAAAAGTGAGTACGAGGCAAGGCAACTGAGGATGGCAAGAGTATAAAATAGTCTAAACTGAGTTTAAGTGAGGGTGCCAAAAAAGCAGTTTCCACTACCCACTGAAAAATGTATGAGATCAAATGGGATCCAAAGACTTTTAAATTGAGGCCTTAGTGTGGATCACAGTAAGGGTCACAGGGACTTGAAATTCGGATGTGACCACAGAACGGAGAGACCAAAGTCAATGAAGAAAATGACTGACAGAGGTGTGAAGGCCAGGCAGCCATCAGTCCAGAGTGCTGGTCAGACCATCTCCACCGATGGCTTAGCCATAAAGAATAGGGATAGGAATATGGGAGGAGAGAAAGAGAGCAAGTCAAAATTTAAGGTTGATCCTGAATGACACAAGTAACCAGATGGCCAAAAGTTAGCAGCTGTGAAGATGGCGGCAAGATGGCGCCTAAAGACATGAGCTTCAATGGAACCAGTGTATCTGAACAAAGAGCAATGTTAAGAATGCGAGGGAAGAGGGGTCGGCGCCGCGGCTCACTTGGCTAATCTTCCACCTGTGGCGCCAGTATCTCACGTGGGCGCCGGATTCTGTCCCGGTTGCCCCTCTTCCACGCCAGCTCTCTGCTGTGGCCAGGGAGTACAGTGGAGGACGGCCCAAGTGCTTGGGCCCTGCACCCGCATGGGAGACCAGGAGAAGCACCTGGCTCCTGGCTTCGGATTGGCGCAGCTCCGGCCTTGGCGGCCATTTAGGGAGTGAACCAATGGAAGGAAGACCTTTCTCTTTGTCTCTTTCTCTCTCACTGTCTATAACTCTACCTGTCAAATTAAAAAAAAAAAAAAGAATGTGAGGGAAGAAAGAGATGCACCTAGGAGGGCTTGCAGCCTGCAGCTGGAGAGGCCAGTGGAGTCCTTTAGGCCAGGATGGCCTGGAGACATGAGCCCAGCCCAGGACACATTTAACTCCTCTGAGCCTTGGTGTCTAACCTGCAAGAAGCGGTAAAACTCAACCTGACTCAAATAAAGAGATGCGGGCAAGCATTCAGCACAAAGGGGCTTAGCTCTCTCTGAAACCCACCATGAGCATCAGCCCTTCCTCCTAACCAGAAGCCAGTGGAACAGTTTCTCGGGGCAGAAGTCAAGTTCAGCTCTGGAGAGCCAGGCTGACTCAGGCCGCGTACCTTGGGGCCTCTGTGATGCGCTTCGTCCTGAGTGTGAGGCCCTGGCTCCACTTCCTCCGGGCCATGCTGTTTGGATTCGCATTTGCCTTTCTTGCAGTTGCCACCACAGGACTTCTTCTCTCCTTTACACAGTGCACGCAGCCGGGAGATGAACTTGGCCTTCCAAGCCCTGAAGTCGGCTTCGATGCTGCCATGCTTGCTTTTAGCCACGTTGCAGTCGCCCTCCCCTCGCGTCAGCACGCGATGAGCACCGAGCTTCCAGAGCCACCGATCGACATTTTTGCCAACCTGCGAGAGAAAGACGTGGATCCTCTCAGTCAGGTTCTCAGACAGTTCTGCGGAAGACCGGGGCTGTCCTGGGGCCCGGGGCAAGAGCAGCTGCCCAGGGAGCAGGAACTGTCAGCAAAAAAGGCTTCAAACCCTCAAGTCCCAGTTTCTACCCAAAGGCCTTCATTTTATAGATTCTGATTTTCTGCTAAGAGTTCTTTAAACAAAGGCACAATCCAAGCCCTTTTATGGGTCAAAAGCCGAAAAGAATTTTTTTGAAATTTGACTCTGAAATCTACTACTCTAATAAATCAAGCTCACAAGCAAAATACTCATTACCAAAATAAAGAAGTTTCAAAAAAATCTAACAAAGCCCATGGGGCCAAAGCCTGTAGAGTAAAAAAAGGACAAATGTAATCAATCTGGCAAGACTCAGGATCCTGAAAATTCAAATATTTATTTCATTGTGACTGGAAGCAGTCAAGCTGAGCCACAGAGGTTATCAGGAAACATAATTAAGGAGTTCAAAACCTTAATAGGCTTCCTGAATAACAGAGCTTTAAACCAAATATTTACACAACAATTTTCCTATTTTTATGCTAATTCTTTTTAAATTTTGGAGGAGGGGACAGACTTCTTTAGTTGATTAATACAAAAGGCAGTGAGGAAGAGACACAGAGTTTCCTTCTCCTGGTTCACTCCCAAATGCTTAGTCTCCCATGCGGGAGGTGGCAGGGCTTAAGCACCAAGCCATCCTCTGTTGCCCTCTGTTGCACTAGCAGGGGGAACACCAGGGACACAAACCGGTGTTTCCGCATGGGCTGCTGGTGTTGCAAGTGAAGGCCTAACCTGCTTCACACCTAGGACCCCAATACGTTTACCTCGGCACAAAAAAAACAGCATTTTTATAATATGCATTTTTTTCATGAGCCTTTTGAAGACCCTTCGGATGTATAAAGTTCAAAAACTTTTGGGGCAGGCACTGTGGTGTAGCGGGTTAACGCCCCGGCCTGAAGTGCCTGCCAGCACCCCATATGGACGCTGGTTCAAGACCCGGCTGCTCCACTTCCAATCCAGCTCTCTGCTGTGGCCTGGGAAAGCAGTAGGAGATGGCCCAAGTCTTTGGGTCCCTGCAGCCGTGTGGGAAACCTGGAGGAAGCTCCTGGCTGCTGGCTTCAGATCAGCACAGCTCTGGCCGTTGCGGCCAATTGGGGAGTGAACCAGCAGATGGAAGACCTCTCTCTCTTTCTCTCTCTCTCTCTCTCTCTGACTCTCCTCTCTCTGTGTAACTCTGACTTTCGAATAAATAAATAAATCTTAAAAAAAAAAAAAACCTTTTTCCACCATAATGAATTTATCATTAAATTCCACTTCACACAAATTATTATTTTTTTTGTTTATTTGCTTTCATTTTATTTGAGAAGCAGAGTGACAGAGGGATATCTTCCATCTGCTGGTTCACCCCTTAAATGGTCCCAATAGCCAGGCCACCTAGGTGGCAAGGACCCAAGTACTAGACCAACCACCAGCTGTCTCCCAGGCTGCATATTAGCAGGAAGCTGAATAACAAAGTGGAGAAGCCAGGACTCAAATCATAGGCTCTATCAGGGGAAGTGGGTGTCCCAAGAGGCAGCTTAACCACTGCACCAAACACCTGCCCCCATTTTCCACAAACTTTCCAAAGTGTTTTCTTATAAGCAGCAATTTACAATTATAAAGATAACACAAGAAATTGATCATTTAGTGCCCAAGTTTGTAGATTATTTCACTCAAACGTGTGAGGTGTTTTATTGATTAAAAAGATCTTATCCCTGTAATTCAATATGCACGTACCTTGTTAAAGTGGTTTGAATAGGCAGAATTTCCCAGACCGAACACCGCGTATCTCATCCCCTTTAGGTAAGTTTTGTCAAACCGGAAATCACTGGCTGCCTCCTCCAACCACTTGCAGAACCACTCCGCGCTCTCAGGCGGCCGGCCATCCGTATACGTGGCAAGCAGGAAAGCACAGACGGTTCTACTAGTGACCTAGCCGACAGAGAACACGTTTCAGACAGTCAAGCTACAAAGGACCTCGCTGATGAAAATTCCTTCTCAAAATGCCGGCACTCATGTCATAGTAAAGGGCCCATTCTCAACATTCTTTGTTTCAATGGTGAAAGGAAATACAACAAGGACACCTTGATAGGGGAGAAAACCCAGTTCCTTATACACCTCATTCCTCAGACAGGGAACAAGAAATACAAATCAGTTAAGAAAAAGACAGATCGCCTACAACTTGCCTACAACCATAAAACTTTTAAATGCAAAGTAACTTACCCGGTGGCACCATCATCTATCTGCACAGGGAGGAAATAAGATCGATTGGGCGGAGGATTTCACTTGCTTGAAGGTGTCTTAACAGTTCCAAGTCAGGAGGCAAGTTACAGCCAACTGACTTGTAATTAAATATCACAGTTGACTAATAACTTTGCACAACTAATTTAGAGTAGATCCAAGCTCACTTATTTGTCCGGCAGTGTTTTCTTGGGGGATAAATTAATGGACGTGTGCAGGCCATGTCTGACTTGCTGTCTGGTTTTTAAATAAAGTTTTATTGAAATACAGCCACGGTCATTCCTTTACAGCTACTTTGTGCCTTGATGGTGGAACTGAGTGGCAGCAAGGCCCACAATGCTTAAGATACTAATCACCAGGACCTTTATGCAGAAGTCTGTCAACCCCTATTCTTTTTCTCCAACTTTAGCTGCACTAGAATCACCTGGAACACTTGTGAACCCCACGCCAAAAACCTGCACTTCTAACAAGTAGAACAGATGCTGACATCACTGGTTTAGGGCCCACACTAGTTATTAATATTTTTTTTTTTTTGGACAGGCAGAGTGGACAATGAAAGAGAGAGAGAGAGAGAGAGAGAGACAGAGAGAAAGGTCTTCCTTTTGCCGTTGGTTCATCCTTCAGTGGCCGTTGCAGCCAGTGCGCGGCGGCCAGCGCACAGCGCTGATCCGAAGGCAAGAGCCAGGTACTTATCCTGGTCTCCCATGGGGTGCAGGGTCCAGTACTTGGGCCATCCTCCACTGCCCTCCTGGGCCACAGCAGAGAGCTGGCCTGGAAGAGGGGCAACCGGGACAGAATCCGGTGCCCTGACCGGGACTAGAATCCGGGGTGCCGGCACCGCAGGTGGAGGATAAGCCTAGTGAGCCGCAGCGCTGGCCATGGCCCACACTGAGAACCATGGCTTTAAAGCAAAAATCCCCTACGTGGGTATGACTGAACGAGGTGAAGGGGAAAAAATCTAATCGCTGATGGACATCTAGATATGCGTTTGGGTCTCACAGCCTATTATAGTTCAATCCGGATGCGCCGAGGTATCATAGAGGTATTTTTTGCATGCGGTGTCATACACAGGTTCTACTGCCTGGTCGGGGGTGGGGATTATGTGCCGGTTGCGCCTCTTCCAGGCCAGCTCTCTGCTGTGGCCAGGGAGTGCAGTGGAGGATGGCCCAAGTGCTTGGGTCCTGCACCCCACGGGAGACCAGGAGAAGCACCTGGCTCCTGCCATTGGATCAGCGCGGTGCGCCGGCCGCAGCGCGCCAGCCGCGGCGGCCATTTGAGGGTGAACCAACGGCAAAGGAAGACCTTTCTCTCTATCTCTCTCTCTCACTGTCCACTCTGCCTGTCAAAAAAAAAAAAAAAAAAAAAAAAAAGAGAGAGAGAGAGAGAGAGAGATCGTCCAAATTCCAAATCCATACTCTTTCTGCCCGTGACCTTCAGATGGCACAAAGTACAGAGCACACTGCCATCGGTGACGACCTTCCCGCTGATGGTAAGATTCAACGTGTGTGTGTGTGTGTGTGTGTGCGTGTGCACCTGCATGTGTGTGGGGCAGGCACAGTGGGAGAGGGGGTACTACCCCCCAGTACTACCCCTGCCCCAGGAGACTCTAACTCATCAGGAGGACAGGACTCGTGTCATGCTGGAATCAGTGTACAGCACACATTCCACAACACTCAACCCACTGAAATCACATGGCATGAAATCAGATTGATTCTAAAGGTCCTATTTATCCCAGGAGATAGGAGGTCAATTACATGGGACAATTCTGATGGAAGAAATAATAGACCCATGACTAACCTCTTCTGCCAGGTGATCATCTGGATCATATTCTTTCAGATTAATAGCTTCCACCGGCAAGTCTAGGGAGGTTACTGCTTCAGCAAGACTCGCTGCAAACCCCTAAGAGGAAAACAAAACTCAAATAAAGTCCTGGACAAGACAAATAAGCAAAACACAGCCCTCATTTACCCAGTTAGCCGCAGAAGGTGACAGTCCTCATGAAGAACTTTTCCTGGGGCTCATGTTTATCATCGTGAGCTCAAACCCTGTCCTCACTTTGGCCATTTTCTCAGGCACCATGAGAGAAGCCCATCACTTAATCTGACAAGGCTCATTCTGGAAGGGGTAGCAGGACCAAGTCTACGTTACTTCCTTCACATTCCAGCTGCTGTACTCCACTAGAATTAATATGCAGTATAAAAAGCAACACTGATGAGTGAAAAGAATGGCAAAAATAAACAGGAACAGGTTGACGGATATGTGGAAGCCCTAAGGGAGAGTTCTTATTCAGACATCTGACAGGTACAAGGGAGAGGCTCCAGGCTTGGAGTCAGCCACCACAACAAGAGAGGGAAGGGAATACGGGGCAAACAAGAACCAATTAGCTGACAATTTGTATAAGGGACAAGAGCACACAGAAGTCTACAGAGTGTATACAACATTTGCAGCTTATCTCCAGGCAAAACACCTGCCAGTTCTCCCCAAAACAAATGAACAAATAAACAAATGTCTGGGGACAGCTGAAACTTCTGGGCAGATGTTGGCACTCTAGGAAAACACTATACTCTCTTCTGCTTCGTGGTCCAACATCTGACTCACGGTATCCGTGCTCGGGCTTTTAGTCAAAACTAATTCATTCACTGGGCAGCTACACACCAGTCTCGTTTCTGGACTGTACGACACAATGATTAGCGAGACAAAGTCCCTGCCCTCAAGAAGTTTAAGTTCTAATGGATAAAGAATAAACACAGAAATGAGAAATATAGGGTATACCAGATGGTGATAGATGCAATGGAGGGAAATAAATCAAAACCAGTGTAGGGACAAGGGTGTTATTTTACATCTGACAATCAGAACAAGTACACATACTCAACAATAAATATTTGGTCTTTGTCCCCAGCCCAGAACTCCTGAAGCCCTTGAAATGTATTGTTTCTTACATGCTAATGAGATAACTTTCCAGGGAGGGATGTTTTGTAGTTCCGGGATGGGGGCTGGACAGCAGAAAAACCAATCACATTTAGAAGTTCAGTTCAGCCCCCTCCATCCAACCTCTGGGGAGGGGATAGGGGATGAGAGATTGAGCTTAATATCAAATGGCCAACGATTTAATCGATCATGTCAACAGAATGGAACCTCCAGGGAAAAAACTGGTGAACACAATGGTGTGCTGGGGAGAAGGCACGGAAATTCTGTGCACATGTCCATACTTTGCCTTCTGCCTTTCATCCATCTGACTGTTCCTGAATTGTATCTTTTATAATAAGCACATAAACATAACTCAAACAACACACCCAGTTCTGTGAGCCACCCTATCAAATCATCGGACCTGGGGAGGAGGTTGGGAAGCAGGGACCTATAACTAGTGTCTGAAGAGAGGACAACCTCATGGAATAAACCCTTCAGCCTGTGCAGTCTGATGGTGACTTGGTAGTTAGCAGCAGAGATGGGAGAAGTTGAGGAGGGAAAAGGACCAGTACTTGGGATCAGAAACTGTAGGTAGGCCTCAAAAATGAAACAAGATTTGAGCCAAAGCTGAAGGAAGTGAGGCACCTAGCTAGGTGGTTAAGGTGGTTATCCCAGGCAGAACCCAAAGGAGCAAGCACTCGGCAAAGAAGTTAACAAAAAAAGGATGCAAGCGATGAGGTACTAGGAAAGGTAGCAGGGACCCACATGTGCAGGGCCTCTTGGCTATCACAAGGACCTTGGCGGGTTCATCTGGGTGCAGAGCTCATTGCAGGGGTTCAAGCAGAGGGCAACATAAGTTTCAAAGAGTCACCCAGGTGGGTAGGTTGAATATACTGGACTCCAGGGAGGGCTGAGCTGTACTGAATCAAGGAAGCCAGTAGGGAGATGACTGCTATAATCTGGACAAGATAGGATGGCGGCCTGGCAGTCAGAGTGGTGAGCAGTGATTGCAATCTGGATCTTTTCTGAAAGGAGAACAGGGTGTGCTGACAGACTGGATGGATGGATGCTGTAAGCAAGAGAAGTCAGGGCTGAGCGCCGGGGCCCAGCAGGTTAAGACGCTGCTTCCCACACTGGCATCCCATAGCAGACTGCTGGTTTGAATCCCGGCTACTCTGCTTCTCATCCAGCTGCCTGCTAATGTGCCTGGGAAGGCAGCAGAAGATGGCCCGAGTCCTCCAAAGACCCTCTGAAACCGTGAGCCAAAATAAACCTTTTCTGTTTATAAAGTTATCGTCTCTCTCTGTAAGATGTATCTATTTAAAAGGCAGAGCCTCAGAAAGAAAAGAGACAGACACAAAGAGAGAGAGAGATCTCAGGGCACTGGTTTGCATCCCAAATGGCTGCAACAGCTAGGCGTGGGGCAAGCCAAAGCCAGGGCCCCAGAACCCCATTCAGGTCTCCCCCACGGGTGGCAGGGAGCCACCCTCTGTTGACTCCAAGGATGCATAAGCAGGAAGCTGGATCAGAGGTGTGGAATCTAGGACGCAAACCAGCACTCAGACACGGGACGCGAGCAGCCTAAACTGCTGCGCCACACACCGACACCAGCCTTTGAGAAGTACACAGGAAAGGCACACTGTTTTAGCTGCTCGGAGTGCTTGCTGACTTTCTACAGGTTTCCTGTCTTTATTGCTAACAGGTGAACCTGCACCAGAGAACAAAAACCCTTACAAGTATCACTCTATACAATACCCACAAGAGGGCAGTAGAACTCTCCTTGGTAGTATACACAAATGACGGTTCCTGAACTTTTTTGTTAAATAATTCATTTTCATGCCAGCCTTACTTCGAATCTTTTCCTAGAAAGTACTAAACAGCTGTGACCTTTGTAACTAAGAAGCTGGCAGTATTCAGAAACAATTAGGTAACAAGAAGCTTCTTTTAGCTAGATACCTGCCGCGTGTATCTCATGTCAACTTCTAACACTTTTATTAACACTATTAGAAGTCAGAACGCATTTCAGTAAATTGATGTGTAAAGTTGTGAAAGCCGGGGCCCACTGCAGACACTGCTGCTGCTGTTCTCTGCTCGCCATCCTCAACTCCTCCCACAGGAGTTAATAATGGAACTCTCCAACCTGCAAGGCAGAATAAGCTTCAGAACAAAGACCCCTCATGCCAGTGACCACTGGACACCAACAACCAGCTGTAACTGGGCACAGAGATGGAACTCGGGCCCTGAGTCCTGGCTCAGTGGTTAAACCAGCTCTTGTGACAACAGCATCCCATATGGGAGCGCCGGGAGTCCCAGCTGCTCTGCTTCCATTCCTGCCTCCCGTTAATGTGCTTGGGAAGGCAGTGTATTATGGCCTAAGTGCTTGGGCCCCTGCCACCCATATGGGAGACACAGATGCAGTTCCAGGAACCTGGCTTTGGCCTAGCCCAGCCCTGACTACTGTGGCTATCTGAGTAGTGAACTAGCAGATGGAAGGTCTGCTCTCGCTCTCTCTCTCTCTCTCTCTCCTCTCTCCTCTCTCTCTCTTTCTCTCTGCCTCTTCTTCTTGCTCTGTGTAACTCTTACTGCCTTTCCTGTAAGTAAATAAGTCTTAAAAGAAAAGAAACTCACAAGCCCAGAAGGAAAAATGTGAATAATGGAAAAGCGAGGAAGACTAAAGACTGGAAGACTAATCCAGCTCACGACCAAAGGATGTGATTTCAGGAACTTTCTGGAAATGTCAGGAAATCAAAGAGAAAGCAACATGTCAAGGTCTTACCTTTGCGGTTCCAGTCTGGGAACCATAGAAAATCTTCACTCCAGACACAAAGATTTCCCTCTTCTGAAGGGAAATGTAACCATTTGTCATCAATTCCTGGTTTGCTTTTGAAACGGATTTCACCTGTGAGTTCTTGGCCTTGAAGAGAAAGGATTATACACAATCCATTCAAGTCTAAAAATCGATTTCCAACTTCAGAAAAGATAAAAATCAGCACAGAAACCAATCCACTTTCTCATCCTCTCCATCTTGCTGGTTGTGCTCCTCAACTATTAACCCCTTAGTAGAATGAAGGCCTTAAAAGACAGAAGGCAACTTTCTAAAGCCTACAGTGGCAGCCATTCCCTCCAGGGTAAAACAGTCATTCTTCAGTACCCACAGAGGATTAGTTCCAGGACCCACTGAGGAAGCCCAAGTCCACGGAGGCTCCAGCCTTTACATAAAATGGCTTAACATTCGTATATAACTCACACACATCCTGCTATATAGTTTAACCCACCTCCAGGTTACTTATAATAACTAATATATAAATGCTACGTAACTAGTTGTTATGCCTTATTGCTTAGTTGCAGGGGTGGGGAGTCTTTTTTCCGCCAAGGGCCATCTGAATAGTCATAATATCATTTGGGGTCACACAAAATTATCAATTTAAAAATTAGACTGGTAGGGCCAGCGCCGTAGCACACTAGGTTAATCCTCCACCTGCTGCGCCGACATCCCATATGGGTGCCAGTTCTAGTCTCAGTTGCTCCTCTTCCAATCCAGCTCTCTGCTGTGGCCTGGGAGGGCAGTGGAGGATGGCCCAAGTGCTTGGGCCCTGCACCCACATGGGAAACCGGGAAGAAGTTCCCGGCTTCGGATTGGCGCAGCTCTGGCCATTGCGGCCATTTGAGGAGTGAACCAATGGAAGGAAGGCCTTTCTCTCTCTCTCTCTCTCTCTCTCTCTCTCTCACTGTCTGTAATTCTACCTGTCAAATAAATAAATAAAACCTTTAAAAAAAATTAGCCTGCTATAGATTTATTGAATCTCGAATCCTGCTGTGGTTGCCTTGACAAGACCAGACCAAATAAATTTTGCAGGGCCTTTAACATCCCTTGGGCTAGATGTTTCCCACCTCTGGAATAATGGCAAGAAAGAGTCTGCACATAATCAGTCCAGAAGCAAAAGCTTTTTCTGGTATTTTCGATCCACAGCCAGTGGAATCTGTGGAGGCAGAACATGGCCATCCTTTCATCTTCAGTTTTATAACAGCAGGGCCTTATTTTCCGATCCTTACTCAGTAGAAAGAGTACTACACCTTAAAGGCATAAAATAGATTTGTTTTCCTAACGAAGTAAACATTCCTCATTACAAAAATCTTCCCTGGATCTGAAGAATGAGGCATCCACAGCGCACCAAAGAAAAAGTAAATCATTTTGTCTGTAACAATTTAGACTCTAAAAACTTAGAGAAGAAATGTTCTTGGGTATTTAAAATGTTTAGAGACGAAACAAAAAAGTGAGGGAGGTCCCTTTAAGTTTTTCTGTATTTTCCCAAAAGCCTTAGAAAATCTGCACTGTAAATTCCCCATAGAACCTGATGCCTAAATAACCCTCTATTAAAAAAATACCTCCTCAGGACCGGCGCCACGGCTCAATAGGCTAATCCTCCACCTGCGGCACCGGCACACCGGGTTCTAGTCCCGGTTGCTCCTCTTCCAGGCCAGCTCTCTGCTGTGGCCAGGGAGTGCAGTGGAGGATGGCCCAAGTGCTTGGGCCCTGCACCCCATGGGAGACCAGGAGAAGCACCTGGCTCCTGGCTTCGATCAGCGCAGTGCACCAGCTGCGTGGCCACTGGGGGATGAACCAATGGAAAAGGAAGACCTTTCTCTCTCTCTCTCTCTCTCTCTCACAGTCCAGTTTCCCGTCACGGATTAAAAAAGGAAGTAGATTCCTCAGGGCAGGCGATGTGTTGTAGAGGGTAAGGCTGCCGCCTGCAGTGCCGGCATCCCATATGGTGCCAGTTTGAGTCCCGGCTGCTCCACTTCCAATCCAGCTCTCTGGGAAAGCAGTAGAAGATGGCCCAAGTCCTTGTGCCCCTGAACCTGCGTGGGTGACCTGGAGGAAGCTCCCAGCTTCTGGCATTTTTTGTTTTGTTTTGTTTTTGTTTTTTGACAGGCAGAGTGGACAGGGAGAGAGACAGAAAGGTCTTCCTTTGCCGTTGGTTCACCCTCCAATGGCCGCCACGGCCGGCACACTGATCTGATGGCAGGAGCCAGGTGCTTCTCTTGGTCTCCCTTGGGGTGCAGGGCCCAAGCACTTGGGCCATCCTCCACTGCCTTCCCGGGCCACAGCAGAGAGCTGGCCTGGAAGAGGAGCAACCGGGACAGAATCTGGCGCCCTGACCGGGACTAGAACCCGGTGTGCCGGCGCCGCAAGGTGGAGGATTAGCCTAGTAAGCCGCGGCGCTGGCTTGCTTCTGGCTTTGGATCCGCACAGCTCTGGCCATTGTGGCCAATTGGGGAGTGAACCAGCAGATGGAACCAGAGAACTCAATCTAACTCAGACTTTCAAATACATAAATAAATCTTAAAAAAAAAAAAAAAATACCTCCTCTTACCTGTCTCTTGATGACAATCTGGACACAAATCCAAAGGCTAATGCCAAAGGCAAAGCCCCAGTAAATGTAAAACCTGTTTATCCATAATGATAGTAAAGATGAGGAGAGGCCCCATGCATCCAAAGGAGGATCTAAAATTATAATGACATGTACATGTAATGTTACTTAAAGCTACCTATACAAAGATTTCCATCCTTATTTAAGAATTAAAAAAAAATCATATACACAAATCCAGCTACCAAAGAAATCTATAGACAATTCTAAAATAAATGGGGGCCAGCATTGTAGCATAGGGGGTTAAGCTACCACCTACAATACCGACCTGGTTGGAATCTAGGTTGCTCCGTTTCTGATCCAGCTCCCTGCTAATATGCATGGAAAACAGGAGAAGTTGGCCCAATGCTTGGGCCCCTGCCACCCTCATGGGAGACCCCATGAGGCTCCTGGCTCCTGGCTTTAGCCTGGCCCAGCCCCTGCTCTTTGTGGCCATTTGGGGAGTGAACCAGGAGACGGAGAACCTCTCTCTCTCTCAAGTCTCACCCTCTTTTGTTATGTTTGCTCCATGGCAAAAAAAATAAACGATAGATAATCGTTCACTCAGCACAGTAGTAAAAGCAGGCATTTTTAAAGACCTAAGTACCTGGCTCGCACCTGGCCTCACGCCCCAGTGTCTGAAGTAAGACACCCAAGAGCCCGGCCTCAACTCTCGCACCTCGGGCACTTTCAAAAGCTGAAGTCTGACATCGGGGGTTTACAGGTGCCGCTGCACCCCGGGAAGGTCCCCAAGTGCCCGGCACGTGGGCCGGCGGGCCGAGTGCTCCGCTTACTTGGGGTCAGAAGCACAGTTTCCTTCTCACCACCCCCGCCCCGGCCTCAGGTGTAGAGCCGGGTCAAAAGCTGGGCTCAGCCCTCCGCTGCGCCCGGCGGGGACCGTCCCGAGCAAGTCCGGCTGTCTCCTCCCCTCCTGCCCCACGACTCCAGTCCGCCATGGCCCTTACCCATTCTCCTCGGAGTCCCAGCCTACGACCTCGAACCCGGAAAGCCCAATGGCCAGCGCGGGTCCCAGGAGCCAGCCCCGAGATACGTCTCAGTATTAGCTGTGCCCCGAGCCGCAAAGCTGGGGGCAGCCATGCCACTCTCGGGCCCGTCCGGATTGGCTGAGAAATCTAACGGGGTGGGTTCAGGAAAGGCCGCGGTCCTTCCAGAGGAAAGCGGAGCGCTCCCGGCACTTCTCTGATTGGCCCAGAGAGGAAATGGGCGGGCCGAGCGGAAGCACCGCCCAAAGCTCTGGGCAGGAAAGCTAAAGGCCTCTCGGCCTGCTCGGATTGGCTCAGGGTCGAAAGGGGCGGGCACACAGAGAAGTACCTCCCAGAAGGCTCCAAAACCCAGTCGGATTGGCTCAGAGTGCAAAGGGGCGGGTCTGGTGAGAAGCGCAATCAGGACGTGAGTGGCAGGAGTGGGAAAAAAAAAAAAAAAAAAGAATGGGAGGGTGAGGGGAAGGAAAGTCAGAAATCCACCAAATGTAGTTTGTGGTTTCGTTTGGAATCAGAGCAAACCAACTGGGAAAGTGCATTTTTTTAGGAAAAATTCGACTATGAACTGGATTTTGGATATTGAAGAATTATGGTTAATCTCGAAGAGTATGCCTGTCAAAAGTATTGACAAGTATTTAATGCTGAAACTATGTTCTGATTTATTTAAAGCACTCCAACAAAAAATGAAGGGGAATAAAGCAAGAATGGCAAAGTGTTGATGACCGTAGGCACAAGACGGGCCATTACACTTTTTTCTCTATTATAGCAAAAATTTTCCATAAAAAGGTTAAAATGGGTGTGGACCCTGAACTCCCACGGAACTAAGCGTCGCCTGGGCAGAGTTTCCACTCGGTCACTGAACATCAGCCTGTCAGGGCTCTTCAACGCAAGGGGGACGTAATTACGTCTAGGAAGAGCGCCTCCCTTTTCGGTCGCGCAAAGATGCCGTAAAACGCACAATGCGCAGGCGTCCTAGCTCACTTTTCCTCGCCCAGCTAACTCACCCACCACCTGACGCCTGCGCAGTAAGTCAGCTGGGCAGCTTGTGGCCGTCTCTGGGGCCGCGTTAGTCACAGCTACCTGGATTCTGAGGTCGTTAGTGTGCCACGCGCCGCCGGGTCGTCACAGCGAGGCGCCGGGGGCCGCTGAGGCCGGGTGGCGCGGCTGTGCCCTGGGTCGCCAGCCCCGAGGCCTGTGAGCAGCCACAATGTCGATCTTCACCCCCACCAACCAGATCCGCCTGACCAATGTGGCCGTGGTACGGATGAAGCGCGCCGGGAAGCGCTTCGAGATCGCCTGCTACAAAAACAAGGTCGTCGGCTGGCGGAGTGGCGTGTGAGTGACTCCGGGCGGGACCCGGTGGCTGCAGAGGCCCCCACTGGGCCTCTGGTCCAGCGGCGAGAGTGGGCGGAGCTGGCGGCTCGGGGCGGGGGAGGGAATGGAAAACTTGATCTTTGCAGCGAGGGTGGGAAGTGACAGCGGACTGTCCGGAGTTTGAGCTCCTGGTTTTTGTTTGATCGGCTCGGATTGAGTTGGTGGCGTGGGGCTTCGTTTTGCTGGTGTCGCACACGCTACAACCCCCGCCCCCGCCCCCAGTTGCGATTTTTTTTTTCTGGGGGAGGTCTGGCCTTGCAAATACGCTGGCAGCTGTGGTATGTGCTGTCACAGACCCCAGGAAGCCGGGTGGTCTCACGAAAGTGCGCAGTCGCCTCTCTGCTGCCATCTCGGGGCCGGTATTCGGTCCCCGCAGCCTGCCCCGCCCCGCGCCTCTCGGGAGTGTCGGACTCCAGTCCCAGGAGCCAACTGGAAATGGAAATGCCGCCCCGAGTTTAGATGCTGAGCGTTCTTGCCGGTTATGTCGTGGCCGTGCACGGATGTCGGTGCGAAGGGATCCCGTGCAGGCTGCAGGTGTGTTCACGCTGGGCTTTCTTTTCCTGCCCTCAAGGGAGAAAGACCTTGACGAAGTTCTGCAGACGCACTCAGTGTTTGTAAATGTCTCCAAGGGTCAGGTTGCGAAGAAGGATGATCTCATCAGCGCGTTCGGAACGGACGACCAAACTGAAATCTGTAAACAGGTGGGTTTAGCCAGCTTGCCCTTGACCCTCAGCTTTGTTTGCAGCAAAAGCTCCTGTAAGTGTGTTAAAGTGTCTTGTTTGGGGGAGCAGAAACTGGTACCATGCAATAATGTGGGCTACACAGTATCATTTTTATTTGTAATTTTCAAAAAGATTCATTTATTTAAAAGGCAGAGTGAGAGAGAGGAAGAGATAGTGCTTCCACCTGCCGGTTCACTCCCCAAGTGGCTCCTGTGGTCCTGGCTTGGCCAGGCCAAAGCCAGGAGGCTGGAACTCCATCCGGGTCTCCCATGTGGGGACAGGGGCCTAAGCACTTGGGCCACCTTCCACTACTTTCCCTGGGCACATTAGTAGGGAGCTGGATTGGAAGTGGAACAGCCAGGACTCAAAATGGTGCCCCAATAAGGAACGCTGGCGTTACAGGTGGTGGCTTAACCCTAATCTGACATGCCACAACACCAGCCCCACTTTCAATGACAGTACAGATTGGTTTTTTTGCCAGAAGCTACAGAAATTGAATCTTCTCCTAAAATATCTAAAAATTGAATTTCAGATGAGTCATCTGTTAGGCCCTTTGCTGACACTGTTAATTTTCTCCTCAGTTACTGATTCTTGGGGTTAACAAATAGTGTGTAATAAAGAAGGATTGCTTTCTTAAATGTGTTGAGTGTTTTTTGTTTGTTTGTTTTAGATCTTGACTAAAGGAGAGCTTCAAGTGTCAGACAAGGAACGGCACACACAGCTGGAGCAGATGTTTAGGGACATTGCCACTATTGTAGCAGACAAATGTGTGAACCCTGAAACAAAGAGACCATACACTGTTATCCTTATAGAGAGAGCCATGAAAGACATCCACTATTCAGTCAAAACCAACAAGAGCACAAAACAGCAGGTGAGTGGGCTTTACTGTCCTCAAAACGTATCCCTAGAAGTGAATGCTCCTTGTAGAAATCATTAAAGTAATGGGTCTGCCTGGAAGCATATGGGTAGGAGGTTTGGGGGTGAGGGGAAGGAATGGGGGTTGTGAAGAAGAGTGTAGGATTTTTTTTTTAATGAAACACAAATATACATTGGACTCTTTCTATCCAAATTGAACCGTTAAGAAAATATTTGGATGTTTCAAGGGATCATTGTGACCCCTCTTTTATGCACATATAATTCACATATCATAAAATCCTCCTTTTAGTGTATGCAATTCAGTGGTCTATTCACATCTTTGGAACCTTCCCTGCTACCTAATTTGGGGAATTTTCATCACCCCGGGAAGAAATCCTATATCTGTTAGCAGTCACTCCCTATACCTCTTTTCCCACAAGCACTTCCTACAACCACTAATGTACTGTCTGTGTCTGTGGACTGGTATGACAATGGAATCATGTGAGGTGTGGCCTTTTTAGGGTTCATCCGTGTCATGGCATGAGTCAGTACTGTTTCTTCTTACGCATAAGTAATTTTGTGGAACTGCCACATTGTGTTTATGCATCCATCAGGTGACAGACATTGGGTTGTTCTCACTTTTTAGCCATTACGAATAATGCTGTTAAATTTGTTGAAAGTTTTTGTATAATCATGTTTGCATTTCTGTATAACTGGGAATGGAATTGCTGGGTCATAGGATAACTAATTTTTAAACTTTTGTGAAACTTCCAAACTGTTTTCCAAAGCAGCTGCACCATTTTTGATTTCTAGCAATTTCTCTACATCCTCCACAGTTCTTGTTACTGTTTGCCTTTTTTATAACCATGCTGGTGGTGTCTTATCTCAGTTTGATTTGCATTCCCCTAATTTGAGCAAATTATTGTGTGCTTACTCATGCTTTGCCTATTTTGGGAAAAATTTCTATTCAGACTACTCACCCATTTCTTAATTGATTATTTATCTTTTCATTCTTGACTTGTAGGTGTTCTTTTTTCTGGATATTAGTCCTTCAGGAAGTAGGCTTGCATAGATTTTCTCTCATTCTGTGAGTTTTTTTTTTTTTTTTTTCATTTTCTTGATTTTTTTTTTAAGCACAGAAGTTAAATTTTGAGTCCTTTTTTGTGTGTGTGTGTGGTTGCTTACATTTTTTTGTGTCACAGCTACAAAACCATTGCTTACTCCATCTTGATGGAAGCTGCTCTGTTTTTGAATACCTCGTGGAATAACTCAGCAGCAGAAGGCAAGAAGTCGCAGATATTATCAATTTTGTCTTTACCACAGGCTTTGGAAGTGATAAAGCAGCTGAAGGAGAAGATGAAGATAGAGCGTGCCCACATGAGACTGCGGTTCAGCCTCCCAGTGAATGAGGGGAAGAAGCTGAAAGAAAAGCTCAAGCCGCTGATCAAGGTTGTAGAGAGTGAAGACTACGGCCAGCAGTTGGAAATGGTGAGACGGGAGCATTCTTAACACCTTGCTTTGTGTTACCAAAACAGCATGTTTTCTAGTCATAAATGTGTTAGGAAACATTTACAAGTCGTGAAGAGTAAGATATTTAACCTAGATATATGTAGCCTGGAGTTAGGATAACATGTCAATGTTTGAGTGGTTAGGTACACTTAGGTTTTTTGTTTGTTGGTGTGTGTGTTTCATGATTCGTGATAAGGTTATTTTGCTCATGTCTATTTTAGATGAGAAAATATTTTTTTAAAATTTTTGTCAAAGATTTATTTTATTTATTTGAAAGACAGAATTAACAGAGAGAGGTAGAACCAGAGAGAGAGGTCTTCCATCCACTGGTTCACTCCCCAAATGACCACAATGGCCAGAGCTGAACTGATACGAAGCCAGGAACCTGGAACTGCTCCTGGGTCTCCCACACAGATGCAGGGACCCAAGGACTTGGGCCATCTTCTACTGCTTTCCCAGGCCATGGCAGAGAGCTGGATCAGATGTGGAGCAGTTGGGAATCGAACCGGTGCCCAGGCCTTTAATGCGCTGTGCCATAGTGCTGGCCCCCAAACATATGTTTTATTGAGTCTTTTCAAAACTTTATGCGTGGTTTCTGATAGGTCTTCAAGTTTCTTTTTCTGCTTTACATATGGAGGAGATTTCGCTGAACTATAAATTTATGCAAGGACACACCAGCATTTGACCAGGTGGTTAAGACACCCAAGTCTCACATCAGAGTACCTGAGTTTGATTGCTCATTCCAGCCTATTGCAGTCCCTGAGAGGCAGCAAGTGCTTGGGTTCCGCCACCTACGCGGGGAAACCTGCACTGAGTTCCTGGCTGTCGCTCCCCGTCTTCTTGGAGGAACGACACAGGACCCTGCGCTGTTCTTTTGTCTGCTCGGCCCTCCCCGGGTTTGCTGCTGCTTCTTCCCGGGTTGGCTACCGTCCCTTCCACCTCCGTGGAAGGGCGGTTCCCCCTGCCACTTTCCCCACTTCTGCGGGGGAGCGGCACACCGCTGGCCGGCTCTCTCGGGGGCTGCACAGGTGTTCCTCTTAGATGTTCCTGGTGCATGTTCTCTATCCTCCTTTATAGTCCTCTTCCACCAATCCCAACTCTGCTACCCACACGCCGAGTACGCTGCTCTCCTCCAATCAGGAGCAGGTCCTGCAGCTTGTCAAGTTGGTGAGAGGCAGCTGGGTAGAAGCTGTTTCCTCCTCTCCCAGCTCCATATTGTGGGAGAGCAGATGCATAGAATAAGTCTTAATTCCAGTAACTTAGTCTAGTCCGAGTTGCTCCCAGTTGCTCCCCACACTGGCTCCCAGCTTCTGTTTAGCCTTGGCCACTGCAGGCACATAAGGAATAAACCAGCAGATGGGATGTCTTTCTATCTGTCCGCCTCTCAAGTAAAATATAAAATTTAATGTGAAATTCTAGTATGCAAAGGACTGTAGTCCAGCCCCTTCTCTTTACAGTGGTGGAACCTAGAGAAGTCTTTAGAGAAGGAGATTAATGCCTTGTCTCAGGGCAGAGGCAGAACTAGAACCCAGACTGCCGCCCTGTCCATCGCACTGTACGACTGCAGTGTTAGAGGTATCTAGAAAGCCCTGTGTTAAAGGAAGTTGTTTTGTGTGATCATCATGTGGCAAACAACTATGCTCAATGTTTCAGGTGTGTCTCATTGACCCAGGCTGCTTCCGAGAAATTGACGAGCTAATAAAAAAGGAAACAAAAGGCAAAGGTTCTTTGGAAGTGCTCAGTTTGAAAGACGTGGAAGAAGGAGATGAGAAGTTTGAATGACATCAGTCTCTTCAACCATGAAACACTACTACAAATGTTCTTGTTTCTAACAGCACTGTCTTATTTCTATGATCTGCCAAAAACTTCTCCGACTATAAGTATTTGACATTTTGCATCCTGATGTTAAATGTATACATAAAAAGACTTTCCTATCCAAGTATAATAATATGGAAATGATTTAGTTTTAATTATAAATCAGGGTTTTGGCAAAAATGAAAAACCCAAAATACAAAGTCCAGAGTAGCATTTCATTGCTAGACTGGCAGTGATGTATAATTTCTTTAAAACTTTCCAAATGAAAGATTTCTTGAGACAATACTTGTGGATAAAATGTTAAATTTTGTAAATTATAGTTAGATTTTTTTGGGGGAATGTGTCCTATAACAGAATTTGCTAAAAAAAAAAAAAAAGAAACCATATAATGTCTTATTTCTCTGTAATGAAATGTGTGTATAGGGGAAACTATATCGTGGCCTAACATAAAGCTTGGATGGTGGCTTCCTGATTATATGAAGATAGATATATAATGAATGCAGAATTTAGATAGTTTTCATTGAATGTGCTGCCATAACTTGGGTTTACTCTTGGTAATAAATAAATTAAAAGATAAATAGTCATTTATTTCTAATTCTTAAAGTTTATAATACATATTAATGTAGCAAAAATTATATATAATTAATAAAACCACTCTTATTTTTATTAAGCTTGTGTTTCTAGATAGCGTCTGAACTCCCTTCCTCTTCTCTGCCTTTGTTTTCAGTAGATTGGGATGTTGTTAGGGGAACTAAGTAAGTGCATAGAACAGGACCTGTTCCAATACACACCTGATAGAACATAAGTCTTATTTGGGATATAATTAAATATTTTAGTATTTAAACACTTAAATGGACATGGTATATGTTTTTAAAAACTCTGCTTATCAAAAGAGATACACTCTAGAATATAAATGTATAAATTATAAGTTTACTCAAAATAAACAAATACAAATTTTGTGGACAGCAGTTGTTATTTTACTGAAAACAGAGTTCTTGACCAGGACCTGATTGGTTCTATGAGCACCAAGAATTCCCTGCAAGTTTAAGTTCTGATAACTGTCCCATTTATTTTAAAGCAAGTTATGAAACAAACATTTTTTCTTATGTTAGAAGAAATATTCTTGTATTTTTATTTTATTTTTTTGACAGGCAGAGTGGACAGCGAGAGAGAGAGACAGAGAATGGTCTTCCTTTTGCCGTTGGTTCACACTCCAATGGCCGGCGCACCACGCTAATCCAAAGGCAGGAGCCAGGTGCCTCTCCTGGTCTCCCATGGGGTGCAGGGCCCAAGGACCTGGGCCATCCTCCACTGCACTCCCTGGCCATAGCAGAGAGCTGGCCTGGAAGAGGAGCGACCGGGACAGAATCCGGTGCCCTGACCGTGACTAGAACCTGGTGTGCCAGCGCCGCAGGTGGAGGATTAGCCTAGTGAGCCGCGGCGCCGGCCTATTCTTGTTTTATAACATGGTAATGAGCACGTTTCTATTGACACTGAAATTGGGCTACTATTTTGATGGCAGTCCTTAGGAAGAATGCTCATGGGGTGGTCACTGCGGTACAGCAGGCTAAGCTGCTGCTTTGGTCACCCACATCCCATATGGGAATGCCAGTTTGATGCTTGGCTATCTGCTTCCTGTCTCACTCCTTGCTTGGGAAGCAGCGAGTGATGGCTCAAGTGCTTGGGCCCCTGCCACCTGCATGGAAGACCAGGATGGAGTTCCTGGCTTCCGGCCTCATTCTGGCCCATTCCCCACTTTGTGACTATTTCAGGAATAAACCAGAAGATAGAAGATTTTGCTGTCAGTCTACCTTTTAAATACATGTATAAATACTCTTTTTCAAGAGTATGCTCACAGCTTTAATTTCAGTTGCAGATTTTGTTGTATAAAGATGATCAAAACCTCAAGACCCAGGAGATGATTTTAGCCAATTTTTGCTTTATTTCTGGTTTAAGGACTGGCAGTGAGGTTTGAGGCTAAAAGTGCCATTACTAGAAAGGTCAGTAGCCTCACGGAGTAGGAAAAAATAACGAGAAATACAACATTGCATTAAATGTTTCTGAGGGGGCCAGTGCTGTGGGCCCAGCTGCTGCACTTCCAATCCAGCTTTCTGCCATGGCCTGGGAAAATAGTAGAAGATGGCCCATGTCCTTGGACCCCTGCACCCATGTGGGAGACCCAGAAGAGGCTCCTGGCTCCTGGCTTCGGATTGGCGCAGCTCTGGCCATTGCAGCCAACTGGGAAGTGAACCATTGGATGGAAAACTTTCTCTCTCTCTCTCTCTCTCTCTCTCTCTCTCTCTCTCTCTCGTCTCTCTCTGCCTCTCCTCTCTTTGTATAACTCTGACTTTCAAATAAATAAATAATTAAAAAAGGTTTCTGAGTATTCCTCTCTTCTAAAAATTAGAACTTCAAGAAATCTTTAATGTAGATCACATCTTGCCTCTGAACCATTAAAATTTTCTCTTCATCTTATGTTAATCTCATTAGTTGAAGTAGTTAAAAAATTTAGTTCTTGATCATCTTCCCTGCACCACGACTATAATGGATTAGTTTAAGGATGGGTTTATTTTGCTTTTCCAATGCAAGCTACTAGTGTGTACATTTAGTCCAGAATGACGTTTCAGAATTCTTTATATTTTAGCACCAACCTGTGAAGCATCCCTTGTACCCTATACTCAAATTGTTGGAATCTCATTCCACAGAGAAATTCCCCTCCAAGGCTTTGATTCATTCAATTTTGGGTCTTAAGATAGTTGCTTAAATATGTGTTCCATGGGAGACTGTGATGAGCTCTTTCAGAGCAAGGGACTTAGCCATGCACGAGTGTCCCACATGGGTTGGACCTGTGCATGTGAAATAAATGTAACATAAAAAGCACATGCTATCTCCATGAGGGCCCACACATTAGGAGAAAGGCTGATGAGAACTCTCTGCCTGATGACTTTTCCAAATCCATCTTTAAACCTGGAAGAAATTTTGTCATCTAAGTCTAAACTTCCCACCCTCCATACACACGGGATTTTTAAGCTGCCTGCTACCCTCAAGCCCATGTCATAAGATTCCCTCATTAGTCGGTAGGTAGTAATGAGGTTTACTTTATGTTTCTTTGGCCTGCTCTTTGAATACTGTATTCTAGGTATTTGAAAATGCTTTTCTCATGCTGTAGTGTGCCACTAGCAGCGTTCAGCGACAGATGATGAAGGCCATGGTTTCTCCTCTTGGTTTTCATGTCCCTGTGTCAAAAAGCAACCAATTGGGGCTTCTCCAAATAGGAAAGGGATAACTTGATAACCTGAACTGAAACTCACAACCCTCGGAACAGCAGGACTCAGAGGCACACAGGCTGTTACTGACCTCAGCCAGGAAAGGCTGTGGCACTGACTGGCCATGATAGAGAAGAAATCTGCTTACAAACATGAGCCACCAACCCGGCGTCACAGGGCAGACACCTACAGGTGTCAATTGCCAGAAAGTTGCATGGGGCTACTGCAAGGTGCATTCTAGTGCCTCACAGCCAGAAGTTTGGAATCTATGATGGTTCCTCATGCTCCCAAGCAACACTGTGAGCTGTCAGTCCTCAATCCCCCAAATCCGTATTCTTGACAATACTTTCAAGGTTTATGAGAGTAATAAGAATTTTATGTGTGTGTGTTCGTATATATGTGTATATTTATAGGCACATGTTGTATGTATGTATATGTAGATGTGTAGATATAAATCACGCATGTGTATACATTGTGCATATATGTGTAGATATATCTGTATATACATGATGTGAATTGATATGTGTGTGGATACGTGTGTGTACATGTGTATGTATGTAATGTTTAGAAAAATAGCACAGACATCTCCCTCTCAATTGTCAAAATTACGGTAGTTGGGTGAGTGTGTAGCATAGCAGTTTAACCACTACTTGGAATGCCTACAGTTTATACAGAGTCTCATTGCTTCTGATCCCGTTTCCAGCTAATGCATACCCTGATAGGCAATAGATGATGGCTCAAGTACTTGAGTCCCTGCCCAAATCTGGGAGACCCAGATAGGGTTCCTGGCTCCTGGCTTTGGCCTGATCCTGCCTCAGATGTTGCAGGCATTTGAAAAATCTCTTTCTATCTCTCTATCTTAAAGTAAAAATGAAAAATTTATAGTATTAGTTGAAATAAAGGGTCTGAAAGAAAGTGTGGATGAAGGGGACAGATCACCCCATTTGGAGAAATGACATAACTGTCTTACCCAATAGTAAAACTTTCTATGAAGCTTCTGTGATCAAAGCAAGATAAAATTGGCACAACCCAGACCAATCAATGTAGCAGCACAGAGTCCGGGACAACATGTGACATGATAATGCAAGGTAACAATGTGATAAATGAATTCCGGTGTGCTGAGTTAAAGTATCCACACCTTAATCTCTGGCATCTCTGAATACCCTTCCTTCTGCAAGTAGAATTAGGGTTACTTTAAAATAGATTACCTGGTATTATCCAGGTAGTTGCAGTATAACCACAAGAACACACACACACACACACACACACAAAAGACGGGGGGAGTATTACAGCACAGGGTGTTAAGCCTCTTTTTGGGACACCCACATCTCATGTCAAAATGTTCCAGTCCCACTTCCTCCAACAAGATGGATGATGGTCCAAGTACGTGGGTTCTGGCCACTCACATGGGAGACCATGATGGTGTTTCTGGCCCCTGAGTTCATCCTGGCCCAACTAAGCTCTGTGGGCATTTGGAGAGTGACCCATTAGATGAAAGTTCTCTCTTCTATCTGTCTTTCAAATAAAATAATTAATTAAAAATTTTTTAGAAAAATAAAAATACTAAGATGGGTATGTAAAAATCCTAACACCTGGTACCTCAGAATGTAACCATATTTGGATATAGGGTATTTTAAAAAACAGATTTATTTAGTTGAAAGGCAGATTGACACAGAGAGAGAGAGATCTGGGGCTGGCACTGTGGCACAGATTAATACTCTGCCTGTGGTGTCGGTCTCCCATATGGGTGCCAGTTCTAGTCCTGGTGCTCTTCTTCCAATCCAGCTCTCTGCTATGGCCTGGGAGAGCAGTGGAAGATGGTTCAAGTAGTTCAAGTCCTTGGGCCCCTGCACCCGTGTGGGAGACCCAGAAGAAGCTCCTGGCTCCTGGCTTTGGATCAGTGCAACTTTGGCTGTTGCAGACATTTGGGGAGTGAACCAGTAGATGGAAGACCTTTCTCTCTGTCTCTCCTTCTCACTGACTGTGACTCTACCTTTCAAATAAATAAATAAAATCTTTTTAAAAATGAAAATCCAAATAATGCTTAAAAAAAAAAGATCTTCCATGTGCTGGTTCACTCTCCAGATGGTCACAACAGCCAGGACTAGGACAGGCTGTAGCCAGGAACTACACCCAGGTCTCCCATGTGGGTGGCAGGGCTCCAGGTTCTTGTACCCATCACCTGTTGTCTCCCAGGAAGCTGAAGAGGAAGGACTGGACCCCAGGCACAGGCATTCAAGGTGGCAGCTTAACCCACAGTGCCAGTGCCACCCCTAAATTTACCTCTTAATTCCATTTCCAACAAATGTGTTGAAATCCTCTTATACACTTCAGTTGTTCAAGTAGAATCTGTGTACCTTTGCCATGGCAAACCCAGCAAACCAGCACACTAGGTCATGTGGTCTTTCTGTGTCTAATCCATGAAAGGACTGTCAGACTCTTGTCCTCAGCGTCTGTGTTTTTTCCTTGGCTTTTTTAAAAGATTAATTTATGCTCTTTGAAAGGCAGAGTGATGGAGAGAGAGTGGGAAAGAGAGAGAAAGAGATCTCCCATCTGCTGCACTAGGCAAAAGTCAGGAGCCTGGAATTCCATGCAGACCTCCTGGATGCATGGCAGGGACCTAAGCACTTGGGCCATCTTCTGCTGCTTTCCCAGGTGCATTAGCAGGGAACTGAATGGAAAGCAGAGCAGGCAGGACTCAGACTGGTACTTAATTGGGATGCCAGCATTGCCAGTGATGGCTTAACCCACTGCACCATAACCCTGGCCCCCTCAATGGTTTCCTGATGGCGCTCATGTGGATGTCAGCACCACAGGTGGAGGCTTAACCTAGTATGGCACACCACTGGTCCCAGAGAGAGAATCTTCAATTCCCTACTTCACTCCTAAGATAACCACAATGACTGGCACTGGGCTAGCCCGAAATCAGGAGCCAGGAGCTTCATCTGGGTATTCCACGTGGGTAGCATGGGCCCAATTACCTGGGCCATCTTCTACTGCTTTTCCCAAACCATTAGTGTGGAGCTGGTTGAGAAGTGGGGGAGATGGGACAAATAAGTGACTTTACAGCACCATATCTGATTTATTTATTTATTTATTTATTTATTTTGACAGACAGAGTTAGACAGTGAGAGAGAGACAGAGAGAAAAGTCTTCCTTCCGTTGGTTCACCCCCCAAATGGCTGCTAAGGCTGGCGCTCTGCGCCGATCTGAAGCCAGGAGCCAGGTGCTTCTCCTGGTCTCCCATGGGGTGCAGGGCCCAAGCATTTGGGCCATCCTCCACTGCACTCCTGGGCCACAGCAGAGAGCTGGCCTGGAAGAGGGGCAACCAGGACAGAATCTGGCGCCCCGACTGGGACTAGAACCCGGGGTGCCGGCGAATTCAATGAACTAATGAGAAATAGTTTGACCTTGAAATTTTAATTATGATATATATGCCTTCTTTGTGATACACTATTATATGTTTATTTGGAGTTACTTTTATGAAAAGAAAAGGAAAGTTTTTTCTTAGCACGCAGATCTATTTTAAGGGACTTAAAGGAAGATTTAGACTCCAATACCATAGTACTGGGGGACTTTAACACTCCACTCTCAGAAATAGATCATCCGGACAGAAGATCAACAAGGAAACAGCAGATTTAATCGACACTATTGCCCAAATGGATCTAACAGATATCTACAGAACTTTCAATCCTACATCTAAAGACTTTACATACTTCTCAGCAGTGCATGGAACCTTCTCTAGGATTGATCACATACTAGGCCATAAAGCAAGTCTCAGCAAATTTAAAAGAATTAGAATCATACCATGCAGCTTCTCAGACCACAGCGGGATGAAGCTGGAAATTAGCAACTCAGGAAACCCCAGGAAGTATACAAACACATGGAGACTGAACAACATGCTCCTGAATGAACACTGGGTCATTCAAGAAATCAAAACAGAAATCAGAAACTTTCTGGAAGTAAATCAGGATAACAATACAGCATACCAAAACTTATGGGATACGGCAAAAGCAGTGTTAAGAGGAAAGTTTATAGCAGTAGGTGCCTATATCAAGAAATTGGAAATGCACCAAATAAATGAGCTTTCAGCGCATCTCAAGGACCTAGAAAATCTGCAGCAAACCAGACTCAAATCTAGTAGGAGAAGAGAAATAATTAAAATCAGAGAAGAAATCAACAGGATTGAATCCAAAAAAAAAACAACAACAACAAAAACAAAAAAAACATTACAAAAAATCAGCCAAGCAAAGAGCAGGTTTTTTGAAAAAATAAACAAAATTGACACACCATTGTCCCAACTAACTAAAAAAAGATCCAAATCAATAAAATCAGAGATGAAAAAGGAAACATAACAACAGACACCACGGAAATAAAAAGAATCATCAGAAATTACTACAAGGACCTGTATGCCAGCAAACAGGGAAACCTATCAGAAATGGATAGATTCCTGGACACATGCAACCTACCTAAATTGAACCAGGAAGACATAGAAAACCTAAACAGACCCAAAACTGAGAAAGAAATTGAAACCGTAATAAAGGCACTCCCAACAAAGAAAAGCTCAGAAACGAAATGGCTTATTTCACAAAGTGTAACGTCTTACAGTTGCATTCTTTTTTTTTTTTTTTTTTTGCAAACCGCTGGATTTTTTTGCACCAGAAAAGGTTACTTACCTGGAGCACACCGGAGATCCACATAGGCCGGCTACCTCAAGGCTGGAGCCATGACAGCTGTCAGCCACTACTTTGAGGCTGCCTGGCCACTTCCGGTGCCGCTGTGCTCACTGGGAGGAAGAGGCGGGTCCTAGATGGCTGGCGCTTGCGCAGTCAGCCTGGTGGAGAGCAAGACCGTGTGTCCGGTGGTGCGGCGAGTTGTCGGCTGCCGGAGTTATCCGCTGATGGCAGCGTTGTCGGTGGCGGTGCTGGCCCGGAGAGTGCGGGAGTGAAGGTGAGTTTTCCTTATGAAATATTAAGAGGCCTGCGACCTCGTGTTGGGGGGAGGGGGTTGTGGCGACTCGGAGCAGTGTAGGCACTCATGTCCACAGGCTGGCGGCCATGGGCGTGGGCGGCTCAGCTGTGGGAGGCGGAGAAGCGGGTGGCTGGGCTCGCGCTGGAGGACAGGACTGCGGGTTACCAGGTATGTTTATTTGTAACCTGCGACTTAGTTATTTAGTCAGTTCCAGCAGTGTTTCTGGTGGGTGTTTCAGTTTTCATTGATTTTTATGACTCTTTCTAGGATGTCCGTGTCTTCTGGATTTAACTTAGTAGGTCACGTGTACTTGTTATCCAGGGATTTCTCCATTTCTTCCTGCTAACATACAGTACTGAATAGCAATTTATTTTGAAACCTTGTGTCTCATTGATGTTGGTTAGAATGTCTGCTTTTTTGTCTGTAATTTTATTTACTGGAGTTTTTATCTTTTTTGTTAGTCTGGTTAGAAGATTATGTACTTTTTAAAATTTTATATCAGGTAAGCAAATTTCATGTATTTTTTATATACAGATTCAAAACATACTGATACTTCTTCCCATGCTACCATCTCTCAAGCCTACACTCCCAGCCACCTTCTTCTTCCCTCTCTTTCCCCTCTCTTAATTTTTATAATTATCTATTTTCAGTTAACTATATATTCATATGATTAAGTAGAAGTGTTCAACAAGAAGTATGAAGAAAAAAACACTGGTCTTTAAAAGTGAGACAAGAACTATAAAAAACCGTCTTATTTCAGCATGTCAGTCTCTCTCCTACACAATACATTTAGGTACGCCTAGTTACCACAAATCAGGGAAAAATACATCATTTGTCCTTTGGGGGCTGGCTTATTTCACTAAATATACAGGTTTCCAGTTACATCCATTTTGTTGCTAAAGACAGCGTTTCTGTGTTCCTGAATGAGTGGTATTTACATTCCCACCACAGTGAGTGGATCAGGGTACCATATTCCCCACTTCCTCAGCGGCATTTATTGTTGTTGATTTCTGTATGAGAGCCATTCTGACTGTGGTGCGGTGAAACCTCATTGCCACTTTGATTTGCATTTCCTTGATGGGTAGTGATTCTGAGAATTTTTTCACGTGTCTGTTGGCCATATGAAATTCCTCTCTTGAAACGTGCCTGTTCCAGTTCTATGCCCATTTCTTAACTGCGTTTTTTGTGTTGCTGTTGAGCTCTTTGTAGATTGTGGATATTAATCTTTTCTCAGTTTCATAGTTTGCAGATTATTTTCTCCCATTCATTCTGCTGTCTCTTCACTTTGCTGAGTGTTTCTTTTGCAGCGCAGAAGCTTCTCAGCTTGATGGAATGCCGTTTGTTTCTGTTTCTGCTTTTCTTGCTGTGCTTCTGCTGTCTTTTCCCAGAAATCTTTGCCTATGCCAGTGTCTTTCAGTTTTCCCCGTGTTCTCTAGTAATATGATGAGATTGTGTTTTGGATGTTGTTCCTTGAACTACTTTTGTTTGCTTTTTGTATAAGGTGTATGGTATGGAACATCTTTCATAGTTTGCATGTGGAGGTCCAGTTCTCTCAGGACCATTTTTCGAAGAAACTGTCCCTTGTACCTGGGATTAATCTTTAGCTCCTTCTTCCAAGATAAATTGATTGTAGATGTGTGCATTATTTCAGGTGTTTATTTTCTGTTCCATTGTTCTATATGTCATTTTTTTGATTATACCGGTTGTTTTGATTGTAACTGCCCTGTTCTGTGTCTTGCAATCTGTTATTGCGATGCTTCGAGTTTTGTCAATGTTGTATAAGATTGCTTTCACTATTCGGATGTTCTGTGTTTTCATATGAATTTTAGCATTGTTTTCTCTCCATCTGGGCAAAGTGTTATTTGACCTTTGGTTAGGATCCCATTGTGTCTGTAAATTGCTTATGGTAGAATGGATATTTGCATTATGTTGATTTGCCAATGAGTGGGCACAGATGATTTTTCCATTTTAAGTGTCCTCTTCTGTTTATTTAATGTTTATTAATTTTCATTGTAGACATCTTCATGGATATGAAACTGGACACACGAGTTGATGAAGTTCAGCTACTGGGTTCTTCCATTTCTGGGGACTGCTTGGCTTCCTGCTAAACCCAGCTTTGGCTTTTTCCTGGGGAGGAGCAACTGGTGAGCAGATGTGGCTGCACGTATGTACGCGGCGGCCTTGGGGCCCAAGGGAAAGAGAAGGGAAGGGACACCATGGTCCCTGGGGCTGGGCTGGCCACGTGACAGTGAAGTTGACTTTCATCCCGTGACAGGGAGGGTCAAATCGAGTAGCCCCAGAGGTTGGAGTGAAAGAAATGTGGGGGGCCAGTGGGGTAGAGGAAAGGTGCAGTGAGGACAGGGGCATGTAGGATGTTGGGGGATGAGTTCCCCCAAGTTTTGTAGTGGATCAGGGGCCAAAGAACATGGTAAAAGGGGAAATATTGGGGCATCCAGGCAATGTGAGGGAGACCTGGGAGGAGAAGTGTGTGCTGTTGCCTCAGAGTAGGAAACACAAAAAGTCTGGTTTGGAGAGACATGGAAATAAAAGGTTGGGTTTTAGAATTCATAGATAAGGGGCCGGCACCGCGGCTCAATAGGCTAATCCTCCGCCTAGCGGCGCCGGCACACCGGGTTCTAGTCCCGGTCGGGGCGCCGGATTCTGTCCCGGTTGCCCCTCTTCCAGGCCAGCCCTCTGCTGTGGCCAGGGAGTGCAGTGGAGGATGGCCCAGGTGCTTGGGCCCTGCACCCCATGGGAGACCAGGAAAAGCACCTGGCACCTGGCTCCTGGCTCCTGCCATCGGATCAGCGCGGTGCGCCGGCCGCAGCGCGCCGGCCGCGCCGGCCATTGGAGGGTGAACCAACGGCAAAGGAAGACCTTTCTCTCTGTCTCTCTCTCTCACTGTCCACTCTGCCTGTCAAAAAAAAAAATAAAATAAAAAATAAAAAAAAAAAGAATTCATAGATAAGGATGACAAGATTGCAAGGAATCTCTGCTGGGGGGCTGTTAAGGGTTAGATGCCACGGATGAACTTGGGACATGCATGGCACTTGGGAGTTGGGAGCTGAAATCAGGTAATTTCTATGTGTCATCATCCTATGAGAGATAGGGAAATGGAAGGATGGTATGGAGGAAGTCAGGTGACTTTCAGCAGAATTGTAACAAGAAGGAGGTGTTAGGTCAACTTGTAAGAACTAGTGGAGTATCAGAGTGTTAGTCCCGGGAGAGGGTCAGGGGAGCAACCTTAGGAAAAGTGAGGGAAGGGAGATGGGGGGCCGGTAGAGGGAACTTTCAGAAGGGATGGGGAATAGAAGCTGAGTTCATCAGGGAATTCAGATACATCTGCAGAACACTATGAGATGGAGAAGATGTTATCTGAAAGAAAACTGGGTTGTTAAGGGGCTTGGGAACATGGAGACCCTGTCATAGGCTGGGAATGAAGTTTGTGGCTTGTAGTCAGCTTGTAGGAGTCAGAATTCTGGCAGAGGACCCTCTTGGTAAATGTGTGCTTCTTGGCTTTCAAATGTGTCTGTTATGTGCTCACATTCATTCTAGTCATTTAAGATAATACTGCATGCTTCCTGAGGGTGCTTGAAAAAGTATGTGGAAAGAGGGTGTTTGTCGTGATGGGTGTTTTTCATATCCTCCTAGGTTGCTGTGCGTGAAAGCTCCTGCTTTCATCGTGTTATTGTTCTTATTATTTTAGGGGGCTAAGGATAGCTTGAGTCCTGCAGGACTGAAACAGAAAGAATATGGTTATGAGCTCTTTGAATAGATTCCCAATTTGTTGGAATGCATATTCGGGATACTTCCTATTCTATGATTTTTTTTTTTTGCCACCTCAGATATTTCCAGTTGCTTTTAGATTCCCTAAACTGTGTCTTTGTGTCAGACTGTGACATTTATTAGGAAGGTGCATTTTTCCTTAAATGTTACTTAAGTGATGTGTCATTCTTAACAATGCAGTGTTATTTAGGGTATTTTTGAGTAACATGTTCAGAATTATATAGCTTACTCTTTTTTAGAGATTTATTTTATTTATTTGAAAGAGTTACAGAAAGAGCTAGAGACAGAGAGAGGTCTTCCATCTGCTGGTTCACTCCCCATATGGCTGCAATGACTGGAGCTGGGCCAATCCGAAGCCAGAAGCTAGGAGCTTCTTCCGGGTCTCCCACATGCGTGCAGGGACCCAAGGACTTGGGCCATCTTCTACTGTTTCCCAGGCCATAGCAGGGAGCTGAATCAGAAGAGGAGCAGCTGGGACTAGAACCAGTGCACATATGGGACGCCAGTGCTTCAGGCCATGGCTTTAACCTACTGCACCACAGCACCTGCCTCTATAGCTTACTCTTACTTTTAGATTATTTCTACAGAAACATTTTCTTATATCATTTTTATAAAAGTCCTAGAATTTTTCACATACACAATTTTACTAATGTGCACGATGTGTCTTTCATTTTCTCTGTAGTGTGAGTGCTTATTTTTTCTATAGGTTCCCATTAAACATTGATATTGTGTCCAATGGATGTGTGTATATGTTTAAGGGTAATAAATTCTTCAATATAATTTATAGACTGATTTAAGAATAAATCCATATTCCCTTTTCCCTGCTCTCCTTCCAATGCTGTCTCTCCCAGAGTCCCCCTCCATCCTCCCCTTCTTTCTTTCCTCGTTTCCTTCCTTTTTGTTCCCTCTATCTTTAGATAATATATTTTAAATTCATATTACAGTAATAAGGCTAATAAGTTTAAGAAGTAAGAACAGGTGGGCCGGTGCTGTGGCATCCCTCAGGAGAGTTGGTTCAAGTCCTGTCTACTCCATCTCTCATCCAGCTCCAACCCTGGGAAAGCAGCAGAGAATGGCCCAAAGTCTTGGTTCTCTGCATCCATGTGGGAGACCCAGAAGAAGCTCCTGGCTCCTGGCTTCTTCTTGGCTCAGCCCAGGTTGTTGTGCTCATTTGGGGGGTGAACCAGCAGATGGAAGATCTCTATCTCTATCTCTCCCCTCCCCATCCACCTCTCTCCCTGGTTTCTCTTCCTTTCATCAATTTCTGCAAGGCATAATGTTAGTCCATGTTATATTCACAGGCTTACTTAACCACTGACCATAGTATTCATCAGGTGAAAGGTAGGGTGGGCAGTGTTGCATGTGAGCTGTGTAGTGATCTTTTTTCAAAAAAATATATTTTCTTAAGTGGCAGAGATGCAGAGAGGGAAACACAGAGATAGAGGTCTTCCATCTACTGGTTTGCTCCTGAAATGGCCACAGGGCCCATTGCTGGGCCGATCCAAAGCCAGGAGCCAGGAGCTTCTCCCAGGTCTCCCACATGGAGACTACATTCAGTAAGAGTGGTATAAGGGACATCCTTGTGTTGTTACATGTTTGACAAAATGCTTTCACATTTTCCCCATCCAGCATGACATTGGCTGCTGGTTTGTCATACATAGCCTTTATGATTTTGATATGTATTCCTTCTGAGTATATTTTGTATAGTTTTAAAAATCATTTCTTATTCTATTGTTATCTTTGTATCTAATTAGATGATAATGTGGTTTTTCAAAAGATTTATTTCATTTGTTTGCAAGAATTATATAGAGAGATAGAGGTATAGCAAGAGCAAAAGAGAGGGAGGGAGGGAGAGATTTCTTATTCTATTGATATCTTTGTATCTAATTAGATGATAATGTGTTTTTTCAAAAGATTTATTTCATTTGTTTGCAAGAATTATATATATAGAGAGAGGTAGAGCAAGAGCAAAAGAGAGGGAGGGAGGGAGAGAGGTCTACTATTTGCTAGTTCATTCCCCAAAAGACCTTGATGGCCAAACTGAGTCAATATGAAGTCAGGATCCAGAACCTTCTTCCAGGTCTCCCATGTGGCTGCCGGGGCCCAACTCATTGGGACATCCTCCGCCACTTTCCCAGGCACGTTAGGAGGGAGCTGGACTGGAAGTGGAGCAGCCTGGACGCTAAATGGCACCCATATGAGATGCCGGCATTGTGTTGTGGTTTTAACCCACTGTAACACAGCGCCAGCCCAGACAATGTGGTTTTATTCTTCCATTATTTTGATATAATTTATCATGTATATTCATTTTCAAATGTGGAACATCATGGCATTTCTGAGATAAATTCCAATTGAAGGTTTTGTGTGAGCTTCAGCATGTGATTTTGTTTTTGTTAGGCTAGAATTTTGTTGAGAATCTTTGCATCTTTTTCATTATGGATATAGGCCAGCAGTTTTCTTTGTATTTCATGTTTTGTTATCTTTTGGGGTCAAAGTAATGCTGGCCTCACAAAAAGTGTTTGTTAGAGTGGAATCCTATTCCATCCAGTTCATTATTTTGAAATAGTTGGAAAAGTATTGGAGTTGCTTTTTAAATCTTCAAGCTCCTTGGTTACCAATATTATTCAAAGGTATTGAAATTTTAGTAGCTATTGTGAATATAATGGATCTTCAAAGTTGTTTCTCAGCCCTGATATTGTGTGTATACAAATTCTATTGATTTGTGTGTTGATTTTATATCCTGCCATTTTTCCAAACTCTATTATGAATTGTAATAGTGGAGTCTCTTGGTTCCCCCATTTATAAAATCATGACATTTTGAAGGTGGGATGGTTTGACTTCTCCTTCCTAATTTGTATCCATTTGATTTCTTTTTCTTGCCTAATGGCTCTGTCTAAAACTTCCAGAACTATATTGAATAGCAATAATGAGGGTGCATCCTTGTCTGATTCCAGATCGTAGTTGGGAATGCTTCCAACTTGTCCCCATTCATAAGATGCTATCATTCGGTTTGACATAAATAGCCTTGAGTATGTCGAGGAATGTTCTTTCTACTGTCAATTTGCCTAAGGTTTTCTTTCAGAAAGGCTTTTGCGTTTTTTCCAGATGTTTTCATCTATTGAAATAATCATTTTTTTTAATATTTATGTAATGGAAAGGCAGAGTTACAGAGTGAGGGAGAGAGATTTTCCAAGAATTTACAATTCATTGGTAAACAGGACATTGTAGCAATTCCTGATGGTTGTTTTTATTTCTTGGGTTTCTATTATTACAGTTTGTTTTTCCTTTCTGATTTTACTGATTGGGGTCTTGTTCCTGTTGTTTTGTTTGTTTTGGAGATTTTCAGCAATTTTGAAAA